GCCTCCTGAGTGTGAGTGCTGGGATTACAGCTGTGCACCACCATGCCCAGGACATTTCTACTTCTTAAGACTTCTTATTGCTTCCCTGACCGTAATGACACAGGACCTATACTGGGGTTCCTTAGGGTTAGGGTCTCTAGTAGGCAGTAAGGACAACAGCCAGAGAATGGAGTCAGGAAGCCCAACACTGAGTCTGCTGAGTCCTGGCCCTCCAGGGACCTTACAAAAACATCTGCCAGGTGTTCTTGGCAGTCAGGGGCTTGCCCGAGCACGGTCGGACAGGGTGCTGGCTCAAGGGCACAGTGCTGCACAGGGGCACTGCATGAATACTACATAGATCAGACCCTAAAATATATATATATAGTCTCCTGTAAAGTAGCGATTATGTTGCTTACACAATGCTCAAGCTCCCTTTTAAACCCTTAAAAACTCCTAGACAAAGCACCATTTTGGGCATCCTGCTCAGGGCCCCCTGTAGCTAGCGGGAGCTCTACGTCCTTGCCTTTATATCTTCTAAATAAGTTTGCTTGTACCCCACCTCCTGCATCTGTGGTTTCATTCTGTGTCTCCATGTGACACAACCCTGGCGTGCCAGTATCGGCCTCAGTTAGAAAATAGGTCATTTCTTCAGGACTTTCCCTCTATGTACGTTGTGGCTCCTGAGTTTCTGGTTTGTCAGAGAGTGAGTCATTCTGACACACAGGTCCCAAGATTCCGAACATGCTGAGGAGCTGATCAGAATCTCAGAGCATGAACTGGCAGACTAATCGGGGTGACTCTGCTCAGAGTCCGACTCCTTAGGTATAGGTGGTTTCTCTGACTGGTGGCATCTCCTACCTTTCTGACACTTGCCTTTGATTCAAAATCTTCCAACACTTGCTGAGACATACCGGACATCCAGATACAGCGGCGAGGTCCACAGCCAACTCGCAAGACTTGATCAGATCCTCTATCACTGCCAGAGCCTGTTGGAGTTCGGTTGAGAATCCTTGGGACATCTTGGTCTTCTTTGGGACATCCTGTGGAAAGCAAATGCCTTGTTGTAAATGAAAAGCAGTTCACCCACCAAGCAGACAGAACACAGGACAGAGCCAAGGAGCCCCAGATCCAGCTGGCACTGGCTGGAAGGTGGGTACATGGATCAGCCCCCTTGGGCCCAGGGAATGATCGATACAGTATATGACAAGCAGAACCATGTGCACTGCTCTAATGAGGAGTGAAGACCATAAAATCACAGACATTGTATTCCTGTTGTATATGAAACAGACAGAATGTGGCTTTGTCAAAACTTGAAAGATACTAGTCTCTTTAAAAGGGCTTCTTCCCCTTCTATCTGCCCTACCTCCTGGGTCTTACTGAAAAAGAAAATTTAGATATCATATTCCTCTATTTAAAATTATACTACCAAAAAAAATTATATTGAAAATCATCCCAGTGGAGGATGTGTGTCCATCTCTGTATAGGCGAGGGATGGGCCTCCTTGCTGAGGCTACTAATGATGTAGTCTCAAAGCCAGAAACAGTGGCATCAGCCACCCTGAGCCTTGCCCGGGCCTGTGCTTCCTCCTGCTCTCTGCTGCCATCTTGGCCAAATTCCACCACAATTAAAGCTGCTGAAGAGATCCACTGATGCCACTGGCCCTCCGAGACGTGGAGACCAGCATTAGGGGAACACGCGGTGACTGCCAGTTACAGAGCCAGCGTTCCAGGGATTACCACGGTGACACTTAGGACAGATGTGACATGGGAGATTGACTCAGCTCAGAAGGCTTTTGCTTGAGGTTTTGGTGTTTATTCCCCAGCTAACTACGTGGTGTATCTATCTGTTACATGGTAATAAGAACAAAAAGATTCTGGTTTATTCTGTGTAATATTTTTTAACCCTTCAATTTCTACAATAAAGGACAAGCCATTTGCTGTTCCCAGTTAGCTATAGTGTTTTTCGTCTTCTACCACATGATATACCCAAAGGGCAGTTTTTTTTTGTACCAGAGATCGAATTTGGGACCTTGCGCTTTCGAGGCAGGCGGCGGCACCACTGAGCTAAATGCCCTGGCAAGGGCAGTCTTTTTTTGAGACAGCATCTTGCTATGTAGTCCAGGCTGGTCTTGACTTCACTATGTAGCCCAAGCTGGCCTTGAACTCAAGGAGATCCTCCTGCCTCAGCCTCCCAAGTGCTGGGATCATAGGTGTGCACATCTGCTTAATCTCTGTCGAAACACTGGGTCAATTGGCATCTTTGCGGCAGAGACAGGGCTCATGAATGGAGCAGAGCAAGCTGCCTCTCCAAGCTGCAAACTTCCTTAGTTGGAAGAAGGGAAATATATCACCATTTCTCACTGGGCTGCAAATCCCTACTTCAAAATTAATTTTTCCTGACTGTGAATTGTGGAACATATACTGTCTTAGAAAATTTAGACAATTGGGCCGGGGATTTAGTTCAGTGGTTTCACCGCCTGCTGAGCAAGCGCAAGGACCCGAGTTTGATCCCTGGTACAAAAAAAGAGAAAATTTAGACAATAAAGATCATAAACAAGGAAAATGAAATTGCTGCAAATGCTCCCACCCATAGGCAAACACCATCAAGAGTTACTTCTATAAAATGTAATATTTAATATCTAGTACCTTAGTCAAGGTTCCTTCTAGTTCACCAGGGTCCATTTCCACATCTTCAGGAGACTCAAGATCCAGTAGACCCTGCAGTAACCCAAAAGCCCTTGAAAATCAAGGAGTAGGCTGCTGACCAAACCTCTGATCTGCAGGCAGGCGAGGCTAAACAGCCTGCCTGGCTGTCCATTCACAAGCGGGAAGAATGAATGAACTCTTCAGCACAGAGTTCCACCAACAGCATCCCATCACACACACCGTTCTCTTGTGGGGTTTTGCCACACAACACTATTATCAGGAATGCTCCCCTGTGACATTATATTATTCTAAAATGTGGTTTTTGATTGTGGCAGGGAGTGTTGCATCATACAAATAAGCCATAATTAAATTATGCTTATGAATCATGGTCTTCTCTACCATGAAATACTTAAGCGTGACCATTTTTTACTCTAATAAAAACTTTGAGCCTTTTCCCTAAGGATAAATTTCTAGAAGCAGACTTGCAAATGCTAGGGGTTTGAGGCATATTTCCACCGTGTCCTTGCTACCGTAGAAGGCTTGCCTCTCAGGCTCTGGCCTGCATTGAGTATGACCATTTAATCACAGATCTCTGCCAGTCAGATGAACAGAGAAATCCTACCTTGCCATCATTTTTTAAATCCTCAGATAATTAATGAAGTAAAAACAAAATTGTCCCCCTGGTACTGGGGGGATCGAACTCAAGGACCTTGTACATGCCAGGCAGGTGTGGCCCTGCTGAGCCTCATCCCTGGCTCTCTTGTAAACTGCCTATGTCCTTTGTTCCTCTTTTTACTACTGATTTCTAAGTGCTTATCATTAATCAAGCACGCTGACCAGTTGTCACACATTTGGCTGATACTTTCACCTGTCTTTGTTTTGTTTGTTTCTGGTACTGGGGATCAAGCCTAGGGCATTCTCACGGAACTACATGCCCAGCCCCTTTTCTTTATTTTTTATTTTGAGACAGAGTCTAGCTAAGTCACTGGTTTGTCTAGGTGGACTCAAACTTATGATCTTCCTGCCTCATCCTCCTAGAGTGTGGGGATTACAAGCATACGCCACTATGCGTGGCTCTGTCTTTGTCTCTCTTTTACAGTTAGAAATATCTCCCCACACCAAGATCTCATGATCCTTTTCTAAGCCTCAACACCCACGTTCTTCCCAACAAGCTGATGGGTCGGAACTGTGAAGGGGTAGAGAACACCAGGAAGCTCTTCTGTCTTCTGGGGACCGGGTGGCTTGACCTTATGCTGATGGGTACACAGTAAGTTTAGCGGTGGGAGGGAAATCTTGGCCTGCTCACCACAGACCAACAAGGGATACTTTATAGCGATACTTTATACCTCTTGCTTCCTCGGTGAAAGGTACTAGCAAAACCTCCTAAGTATCTGGAACCTGTATTACCTCATTTAATGCCCCCCAGAGCCACACCAGAAAGCACCATTATCTTAATTCTACGGTGAGGAATCCGAGGCAGAGAGTGTTTAAGTGATGCAATGGAGTTCACTTGGCCCGTCCATTGTTTCAGTGCCCAGAAAGGATGAATTTGGGAAACCGCGCCTTTCCTCCGGAGCGCTTGGCCTCTCCTGGAAAGCGGAGCTGCCCGCCTCTCCCGCATTGTCCCCCGTCTCTTCCCCCAGCTGAGCTCTAGACGTTCACGCGTGGGTTGGACTTGGGAGTAGCCGGCTCCAAGGCCCCTTCCGACTCTCTGCTTTTGTCTTGGAGGAAAGAAAAGGCCCACAGGGCGGGCAGATCTTGGGCCTCAGGAGACCAGACCCCACTTCCGGTCTAAGGAGCCGCGCACTGAGCACAGGTGTCTGTTTCCCCTGCCCTGAGGCGCATTCTCCACGACGTTACCTTCAACAGCTCCTGGTATTTTATCAATCTCTGGCCTGGTCCTCCAAGGTACTTAAAGAGAGGGAAGCTGTGGTCCAGTTGGCGCTGGCATACCTTGAAGAGCCGAAGAGAAATGACATAAAGCAAAACAGACAGACCACGCGCAGCGAGAGGACAAAACCTGCAGCATCAGGTACAAGAATCAAACAAGTACTTGGTGGACAAGAAGGGTGCAGTGTCTACCAGCCCCACAATGCAACGGGGTTTTCCAGCCCCCCCGAACAACATGCAAAGACAGAGAACTAGGGAAGGGGTTGTGTTGGCCGGTATTGTTATAGGCAACTGGGAACAGGACCACTGGGACGCTAGTGCACCAGACAGTGGACATTTCCAGTCCCTCTGGGAAGAAGGCAGCCTGTCTTCAAGTTGGGGGCACGTGGCCTCTATTCAGGCCATTTGGTGTCTGGATGATACAGATGGCTTGTTGATGTCATTCCAGGAGCCTCAAAATATGACCCTCTTGAGTTGGTTCCATTTAAAAAAACGCATCCTAAAAGAGGCTCTTGTTTTTCTCAGCAGACCACATTGGCTCCTCAAGGGCCCGGTCCCTGGAGACGGCGGGGGCCAGAACTTCTCATGAGTCACTTCGGAGTAAGGGGATTTTCAAACAAACAGGATCCCCTGTGCCAAAGTGCTCTGCCTTGCTCAGATTTTTGATTTCTTCAAGAATTTGATGCACATGAACATTTTCAGGGAGAACAACTGGGAGACTTTGTAAACTCAACATTACCCCGAAGTAGGCGCACTCCCGACATTCTTGCCAGACCGCCCTCGCAAGGGGCAGGTTCTTATGGTACTTAAAATACATTTGGAGGTCTTCTTTCTGGATGGGAAAAAGTAGAACACATTATCCAGTGAGTGGACAGGACGATCCATTCATTCACCAAGCCTGAGTATTTCACTGTGTGAGGAACTGGCGGTGATGGTAAGTAGCTGCATGTTGGGGTGAGTTTGGGATGGGGCGGTGAACAGAGAGGGCTATAGACACCCTAAATCCCCCCCCACGGGAATGGTGCTCCTGGGTCCAAGGGCTTCTGATAAGTAAATTCACAAACAGGAGCTGATGCCAATCTTTATTTTTCTTCCGTTGCTCTTTGCCCAGGAAAGCGCTATCTCCCCGGCCATGGTACCTTCCCAGTTCGGGGAGTGATAAATTTGACAGAAAATGCTGGCCGCCCCTCCTTTCCCCTCAACATCCTCTCCCCGCCCATCACAGGGCCAACCTTGCAAAGAGACCTAAGAAGCAACTGAAAACTCTATACACCCCAAAAGTTTAGATGACAATGCACAGATCTAAGTCACTTGGGTAACACTCAAGGGCCAAGCTCTGCCTCAGACACTGTGTCGTCACTTTCAGTCAGTGGCACAAGAACTTCCTTCCCTTCCCTCCCCCCCTTCCCTTCTCTTCCCTTCCTTTCCTCTTCCCTCCTCTCCCCGTCCCTCCCTCCCTCCCTCTGTGGAGATCAAACCAAAGGCCCTCTACCACTGAGCAACATCCTCAGCCTTTTTTACTTTGAGACAGGGTCTTGCTAAGTTGCAAGACCAGGTAGGATTTGAACTTGCAATTCTACTTCTAAACACACTGCTGGGGCTGGGGTATAGCTCAGTGGCACAGCATGTGCTTAGCATACCTGTTTGGAATCCCTGACACCAGGAAACAAAACAAAAAATGCATTGCTGAAGTGAATGACTTCCACTTCTGTCCTGATACAACGTAGGTAGTCATTTTAGCATCAGAATTACTGTTCTGATGGTCCTGTCCTGGACCATTCCCTCCAGGTAAAAATTATACATGCACACGTGCATTTGAAGGAAGACATGGTCCTTCAGAAATGTTTTTCAGATTTGCTAAGGAACTAGAAGAATAAACCAGAGCTACACGTGCACATGTTCACTCATTTAAGAGCTCTCTCTTGCAGGCCTTCAGTGTGCTGAGTGCCTTTGTTAAACTCTGTGGCTCACACAGCTCAGGAGCCAGCCACAGGCAGCATTCTCAGCACACCGCAGAGCAGGCTTACCAAACATTACAAATGGATTAAGATACCTCCCTACGTTTGGTCTGTCAGAGCACACAGGCATCAACCATACTGCCTTACAGAATTCAGGGTTCCATTGCTTTCAACACTTACCCACAGGATTTGCAGAAACTCAAGAAGACTTTGGAGACTTCGGCCCACCCCATGTGGTTTCCTCCTCGACATCCAACCACCTTTCCCCAAACTGTCTAGTACCTCAGGGGCCTGGCTCTACTGGTGGATGCTGAGCTGCTGAAACCTCCTGAAACCCTTCCCCTGGTCCTGACTCTGCCCTGTAGGCAGCACAGAACATTCTGAGCCTCCGTGTACTAGAATCCAGTTATTGACCTCAATTTCTTTTGTACCAGCTAACATTCAAAGGCCTTCAAGAAAGGGCGTGTCCTCACCAGCAGCCTGAAAGCGCCTGACACCCCTTACAGACAAAATCGCTACGTCAAACTCCTCTTCACACAAGGGAACATGATTGCCTTGGACTAAGACCATGGGCTTTGGAGGAGATGGTCAGATTCAGTTCTCAGCTTTGTCAGTGATAAACTAGTATGGCCTAAGGCCAGATACTTAGTCAGCTTGATTTCAGCTTCATCCTCTGTTAAGTGGGGCTGTAAGAGCAGTCAGCTCAACAAATACGCTATATATACCCTAAAAAGAATGACTCTGGTCCAACTACTTCGCACTTTGTAGAACCCTTCTACAGCACCCTTGTATTCGCTTCCTATAACTGTGCCTATCGGTACCAGCAAGCCTGTTGCATGGAGAAGGGAAGTGAGATTCCAAGGGTTCAAGTTATTTACTTGAGGCCATGCAGATAGCACATGGTTCAATTTAAAAGTTCCACTTCATTAGGTGTGGTGACACATGCCTGTAAACCCAGCACACTGAGGCTGAGACAGGGTATCTCAAATTTGAACCCAGCCTGGGCAACTGAGTGATTTAGTAAGACCCTGTCTCAAAATTTAAAAATTTAGAAAGGACTGGGGATGTAGTTCAGTGTGAAGGTCCTGGGTTCATTCCCCAGTACTGCACACCCTCCCCCCACCAAGGTTACATTTTATGAGTCTTACTCCAGTGTTTTATTTTTTCCATTTTACCAAGTGAAATCTCAGAGCGACTGGAACACCAAATAAAGTCTGGACAAGGACTTCTACACAGAGCAGGGATCTGGGAGAGAATCTTCCCGGATGAGAGCGGTTACAGCGTCTGACTCAGAATTTGTTTCCCAGAAGAGTGGGCTCTGCAGACTTTAGTGTGAAGGTAAACGCCCCAGAGCACAGTGCAAAGACAGCCTCATCCACAAACAGGAAGGTGTCTGCACCCCCAAGGCCAACTCCTGCCCCAAGATGGTCAGATAACTGGGGTTTTAAACTGCTCTGTCCCAGAGAAATCCTTTGTGCTTGGTGGGAATTTATTGTCTGCATTTTGTCTCCAATATCATAAATTATGTAAGATTAGACGAGAATTTTGCAGTCTAGATGATTTCCAAAGTTCTTCCCAATGCGCTTAAAAACTTTACAAAACTTTAGAAAAGGAATTCATTCCAGAAAAAAAAATATTTAATCAGCAATTCCCTGGCCATTTCCTCAGATGTGAATGATTTTTAATCGTGTCCATCTCTTTCCGCAGGAATCTGGCTCTCTTCTCATTCAAGAATTTACATAATCTTTGCAAGAACGACGTGAGCTTTCATAAAATGCTGCTACGTTCTGAAGCTAGATTTGCCCACGAGTGGTGTAACGAGTGCAAATGTGCAAAATGATACAAGACACTGACAGTGTTGCACTTACAATTCAGAAGGGAAAAGACTCCAGCGAGGAAGAAACAACGTTGAATGTGGCTGTGATTCTGGCTGTTGAGGGGAAGCGTAGAGAAAGCTGGGCTGGGAAGCTCAGACTAGCTCAGGGGGACTCGGTCTCTTCGCCATGTCCAGCGCCTCAAAGCCTGGGAAGTTTTGTCTGTTTGCCTGTAGTTTACACATGTACTGCCCTCACACAGAGTGGCTAACATTTGGTTGTTTTATTTATTTATTAATTTGGGGGTTTTTTGTGAGGCGGAGTCTCGCTGTATAGTTTAGATTGGCCTTGAACTCACTAGATAGCCCAGGATGGCCTCAAGCGCTCTGCTCCGCCATTCTCCTGCCTCCACCTCCCAAGTGCTGGGATTACAGGTGTGGGGCAGCATGCCTGGCTTTAGTCATCATTTGGGTGTCTCAAAAATTTTAAATTGTTTATCTGTTGCCTTGGGCTCACAGAAAGAAAAACAAGAAAGAAAACTGAGAATTAGGGTTTGTTGGGAAAGAGAAGAAACAGGAAAGGCCAAGAGGACACCAGATCAGGAGCAAGAAAGTGCGCGGTGGGGAAGATGTTGGGTAAGAGGCTCCTCTGTGCCAGCTGGCCAGCCCAAAGAAGAGTGCAGAGACCCCAGGGCAGGGGAGAACTCCGGATGATGGGGAAGGGGAGGTAAGTAGAGGCATGATGTCGGACAGGAAGTTTATGAACTGGCTGCTAAGCATAAGAAAGGGTATGGAGCCGGGCATTGGTGGTGCATGCCTGTAATCCCAGTACTCAGGAGGGTGAGGCAAGAGGATTGTCATGAATTCGAGGCCAGCTGGGTTACATAGTGAGTTCAAGGCCAGCCTGGACTACACAGTGAAACCCTGTCTCAAAAAACCAAACCAGGGTGGGGATTTAGCTCAGTGGTTTTGCTGCCTGCTGTGCAAGCGCAAGGACCCGAGTTTAACCCCTGGTACCAAAAAAAAAAAAAAAGAAAAAGAAAAAAAAAGAAAGAAAGAAAGGCTACAGATGTAAAAATTCTAATAATCCTCTATTCTCTAAAATGGAAGAAAATATGTTTTCTGAGATTTTCAGTTTAACACCAAAACTTCTCTTGAGAGCGTTAATAAACCTTAGTGTGAGGCTTTAAGCCTGCTGCGTGGTTCTTGCCCTGAAACACAGTCTGCCATTCCACAGAGGATCACCCACTCTGGGGACCCAGGTGGCCCACCTTCCACCCTACAGTCTTGGCGGGAGGTAGGCGTGTAAGTGTTTCCACCATTGGTGTGAGCACCATCAAACCTGACTCATTCTCACACTGGACAAAATGAGGGGAGGCCACTGGCACTGTGAAGGACTCCTGGCTGCATCTAAAGGGCAGGTGGAAGATCTGCCCTGAGCAGATTCCAAGTATACAATGCAGTATTATTATTATTTTTCATTTGTTTTGTTTTTGGTACCAGGGATTGAACTCAGGTCCTTGCGCTTTCAAGGCAGGTGGTGGAACCACTGAGATAAATCCCCGGCCCCAATGCAGTATTATTAACTGTACCGTGCATTACATCTCTGGAACTTATTCATCCTATAACTGACTCTTTGTACCCTTTGACCAACATCTCCCCATTTCCTCCACCCTCAGCCCCTCACAATTAACCCTTTGGTTATGGGTTGTATTTAGATGTCCCCCCAAAGCCTCATGTGGTCATAGTTGGGACTTTTTGGAGGTGGCTGGATTTAGAGTGTTTGAATGTGGATTAAGGATGTGTTACTGGGATTAATGGATAATGGAAGCCCCACCCTGGGTGTGGGTGGCACAAATCAATAGGCCTATAGCCTGGATAGAATTAAAAGGGACAGAAAGAAAGCAGGATGTTGCTGCTGCTACTGCTGCTAGCTGCTTCACCATCTCCTGCCTACCCTGCTATGGACTGTTTCTCCTCTGCCATGCCTCCTGCCGTGCTGCCCTGCTGCCCTGCTTTGGAGCCAGCTGACTATGGACTGAAACCTTTAGAAACTGTGAGCCAAAATAAACCCTTCCTCTTTTAAAGTTAGGTGTCTGGTATTTTTTCTCAGCAATGCAAAAAGTAACTAAGACATTTTCTAATCTCTGTTTCTATGAATTCAGCTTTATCACATCACACACACACACACACACACACACACTCACACCCAGGATAACTATGCAAGGTGACAGATGCATTAATTAACTCGATTGTGGTAGTCATTTTAAGGTGAATTCCTGAATCAAGTCATCATGTTGTACACCCTGAATATATGCAATTTTCATTTGTCAATTATATGTCAACAAAGCAGGGATGTTTTTCCACCTTTGGGGTGTCCATTTGTCCTTGTCATTTACACAGAAATAAAGACTGACTTTATTTTGGGTTTGTTGGGAGTACAGACTTACTCTCTTGAGAAAACAGCATGCCAGAAGTTCAGGGTTTTCCACACACTTTTCCAATTCTTTTAGAAAAGTCCTAGGGAAATAAAAGTATGACACAGCAATGTCTTGTTTTTTTTGTTTTTTTTTTTCACTTGTATGGGTTTTAAACTTCTTAAGTAAAATCACATGAAGTTTTGAGAAGTATCTAGAAAAAAGCTCCAGGCTTTATTGCTCTTGATTTCATCTCCTACACACCGATTTGGCAAAAAGACAATGCATCCTGAGCATTACTGTGGTGACCACGAACCTGCTTGCAGCTGTTCTGGTCATTCTGGGCACCAGGCAGACACAGGTGGGACACACTGATGCTAACAGTGAACTGCCGGTGGCTACCACGGCTGCTGTCATTAATGTCACTGAGGGTTTATGATAAGGCAGGCATAAGCTAAGTGCTTCACATACATCTCATTTAACTCTCAGCCAAGGTTTCATGCATGTGAAACCCGAGGCTGTAAGAGGCTGAATTACTTCACTAGGAAAAGTAGCAGAAATCAGATTCCACTTCAGTTTTGGGTCTGACCAATGGACAAGGGATGGGATTAGGAAACAACTATGGTTCAATCTATGAACACCTACCACCCCTGCTATTAATCAGTTATGGGGTCTTGGGGCCACATAGAGGGCAAAGCATAGCAAGATGTGTGAGTGAGAGGGTGGGAAGTCCCTGCTGCCTCCATGGCTCTAGAACTCAACACCCAAGCAGCCCTGGGCTGAAGGGACAGGGCTGTTTGGGCAGCGAGCATTTTCTGATGCCCAGTAGCATCCTGGGATAACAGGTACATGGGCAGGTGTCTCAGTCACCTTTGTATTTCCAATGCTGGGCACAGTGCCTGCACAGAACAGATGCATAATAAATATGGACACACACATGAAATAAACAGCAGAGGAGCACACAACCCACACAGCACTGTTGTGTGACACCCGGCATGAGCCCCAGCAGTTCCTTTCCTCTCCCTCAGGGATCTTGTGGCGTTGACTTCCTCTTCTCTTCCATCCTCACCTGAACCAACCCACTTGCTCAAGCCAAACCCATCAAACACTTTCATGTCCAAATCCCACCCACCTGATTCTCACTCCTACAGTCCGTATTTCCGGATAATAGGAATCACTATATACCTGCTGTGAAATTCATAAAGTTCTTTAATGTTCCCAAAGAGAGAGTCCTTGTTATTCTGTAAAACATCTGGAATCAGATGCTTTAGCCAAATAAAATCCATTGGAGTGATATATCCCTGCAGAAATGGAAACAAGGTAGGTTTTACAGTCAATATAAAAGAGACAGTCTACATTAGCTACTCTTAAGAACCAAAACTTTAATGAAACGACTGAGGAATATAGCATACACACTTCCTGAAAACTATTCTATCAAATATTTTCTTTTGAAAAAAAAAAACCCCAACCCCAAAATTTTCTTTTGATAACATTTTCCTCATCATATCAGAAGGTGACAGCTTAATGGCAACAATAACAAAATGGTATTTTAAGGGGAAGAACAAAGATTTTAAAAATGTTAATAAGTTATGCAAGTTATATATGAAAGGCAAAAACCTACCCATAATTTTATGATGTGGTACAATTACTATCAAGTTTTATTATATTTCCTTCATAACTTGTAAAAAGCTCATTTTTATGGTTATAAGTATAATATGTATATAATTTTGTATTTTCTCCATGTATATTTTAGACTCAACTTAGAAAGCTTTACATATTATTAATTTAGTCTTCTATCAAGAACATTTTTTCAATATTACTACATATTATCTAAAATAACTTTTAACTCATGAATAACATTTATTCAGCACATACACTTTTTTAACCATTTCTCTTTTTATGGATAGTTTGGTTGCTTCTGAATTTTCTTTTTTTTGAATTTTATTTTATTGGTACAATTTAGGTATACAATATAATGACATTCATCATTGGAACTTCTGAATTTTCTATTGTAAAAATGCTATGACAAATAATTTTATAAATGTCGTTTTTTTCCTTTGGATTATTCCATTAGGAAAAGAGAGAAAACACACATTTTCACTCTTAAGGGGAAAACAGCTACTTAAAAAATGAGTAGCAGGGCGTGGTGGCAGATGCCTGTAATCCCTGCACTCAGGAAGCTGAGGCAAGAAAACTCTGAATTAGAGGCCAGTGCGAGGTACATAGTAATATCCTGTTGAGACAGAGACAGAGACTGAGAGGATCTCTCACTATCGAAAACATTTTGATCATCCTTTGTTGGTGAGCGTAGTTTGGGCATGAACTGTCATAATCCCCTGGAACTATTTGGCTACATGGACAAAGAGCCTTGTTTTTATTCCTACTGGAGAGACACTTGTGATGTAAGGCCTGCAGCCTTCAGGGGAATTTCAGAGACACATGACAACTATTTTGATTCTTTTTGTACAATGAAACGTCTTGCTTGAATATATTGTTCAACACCCTGCCATTTACTTACATCAATTATGCTCTTCATTTCTTTTATATAAATCTCTTCGGTCTCAAGCAAATCCTGTATAATGTGCCTACATCACAGCAGCAAGAGGCAGGTTGAAAAAGAAAGAGACAGAGGGAAGGGAAGAGAGTATTTTTAGTATTCTTTTGGAATAATGCTCCCCGGTACATTTCCCCTTAGCAGCTCATGCACTTAGGTTCTGGTCAGTTCATTCTGTGCTGTTGAATTCATAAGCCCTGGCATCTCACAAAAGCACAGGTGAAAGGCTCCAAATCCATTAGTGCATCCCTAGTCTCCTGGGTGGGCCATGGGTATGGAGGGGTCAAGAGGGTGGGCACTGGGGCCAGAAATAGCAAGTTTGGTCCAGAAAGGTCAGCTTGGAGCCTGCATTGCGTATGCAGTTTCCTAGATTTTCTCTCCAGCTTTTCTCCTGTTTGCTTGCTCACATCAAGATCTCTGACCCTCACTCCCCTGGTGTATTTTCTTGTACTTGGGGTTAGCTGGGTGCTGTCTTATCTCCTTCTTTCAGCACTGAGTGTTTTGGTGTGATTTCCTATTCCAAAAGGTATGGGCTCTGTTTTTCCGGAAGAAGGCAGGTGGAGGGAGTGGTGGGGAGAACCCTAAGATGCCTCCTCCAATTTCTGCCCCCTGGTGTACAAACACCTCTTCCAAATGCCCATAAGTGCTGCTGTGGCAGGACCTTGATATTCACTTGATCTTGAGATAGGCAATCTTTTTTTTGAAACAGGGTCTCACTATGTAGCCCAGGCTGACCTCGAACTTGTGGCAATCCTCCTGCCTCAGTCTTCCTAGTGCTGGGCTTACAGGTGTGAGCCACCATGCCCAGCGAGATAGGCACTCTGGAATTGAGCCTGTCCTAATCATATAAATTTCCTAGGTCTGGACCTAGAGTCAGAGTTTGAAAGCACAAGAAGGATTCAGCACAGGGGAGATTGCCCTTGGCTGGCTTGAGACGCAAGGGGCCATGTGACCAGGAATGTGGGTGCCTCCAGGAGCTGAGCATGCCCCCGGCTGCCAACCAGTGAAGGAGAAAGAAATTCTGCCTATGGTGGCAAGGACTGGACCCTGACACCACCACATGAACTTGGCAGAGGATTCAGAGCTCTGCCTGAGAATGAGACCAGGCAACATCACAATCTAAACTTCGTGGGACTCAGAGCAGAAAACCCAACCCTGCCGTGGGCAGGCACAGGTGCCAGGGAAATTATGAGCTAATCTGCCAAGTTCGCGGTCAGTTCTCATACAGCAAGAGAAAACCAAGAGCAAGAGTGAAGCCACCCCCACACCCATCCCAGCCAGGCTGTGTCCTTTCTCGCCTTAGGTGATGTGACCACACTTAGGTTCTCTTTTAGAGCTCCAAGAGCAGGATTGAGGGTTTATCTGAGTGTTCATGGGTGTAGTATATATATGTATGGCTTTCTGTGAACTCTTGGTGCGCTATATATTATATGGAAGTGAGGGTGAAAACTGTCTCCTGGTGTAAAACTGGGCAACTATGGGTTAGGTGTGTAACTATGTTGGCTGAGAAAGATAGCTTGTAACTACAGTCACTACTGTAATGCAAACTCACTAGAGCAAGGTGACCTCAGAAAACCCTGCCAAACCTCCTGCTCCCAGCTTCATTGCCCCTTTGGTTATGTAAATATGTCTAAATTGATGGCTGTTTCACCAGTGATTATGGTCGGTGTTTTCCTCGCCCATTGAAATAAAGGTATAAAAATGAGGGCCAGGGATTTAGCTCAGTGGTTCCATTGCCTGCCTTGAAAGTGCAAGGTCCCAAGTCCAATCCCCAGTACCGCCCCCCGCCCCACCCCAAGAAAAGAGTAAACTTCTGTTTGATGATTTTGAGATGATTTGAATCCCTTGAACCCACTAGCAATAAAGCTGATTTTGCTCCTACTCGTGTGGTTGGTGGTCTGTCTGGACCCCCAAGATGTCAAGCCTCAGAAGCTCATCTCAGTGAAGGATTTCTTTTCTTCTCACAAAAATGGATATGGCAAAGGATAAGTAATACAATAGGAAAAACCAGGGAAAGATAGGAAATAAGAAATTTGTACAATTATATAAATGGCTCTTAGTCTTATGGAAAATATGTTCCACATACACTAATTCAGCAAAGGGATGTTAAGAAGGAGTAATAATTTTCACTGACTAGGATGGAGGAAGCTCTAAACCCCAAAGAAAGACTTCAGGATGAGGATCTGGGAACACTTCAGATAATATTAATGAAAATGGAAATGTGTGTGAGAGTTTTGGAAGATAATTTAGAAATACCTCATCAAAATTTAAAACACACAATCCTCAGGGCTGAGGATGTAGCTTAGTGGTAGAGCACGTGCTTAGCAAACACTGACAGCCTGTGCCCTGGAGAGAGTGCCTGGTTAGACGCCCTTCCAGGGAGGGAGGGACGAACTTTGGACTTGGAATAGCTATGGGTTGGCTTCATTTCAGGGCTCCCGGTGTTGAAATTCCACAGTGACTGTGTGAGTGACAGCCATGGGAGATGTCCAAGGTCAGGGAGCTGTGAGCAGGCTGCTGAGGGACACCCAGAGTGCTGCTAGCTCAAGACTCGGACTGGGCCCACAGGCAGAGGCTAGGATCAGTGTGAACTCCTGTGGAAGATAGGGCACCCCAACCCAACCCTCTGGCAGCTTGCTGGGATTGTCCAGGGCCTTTCCCTAGTCCTACTGCAGACTGACTGGGGTTAATGGGCACAGGTCAATGCCACAAAACTGTAGATACCAGAAGATAACCACAGGCTTGAAGTCACAGAGAAATTTCTCTTTCTTTCTTTCTCTCTCTTTTTTTTTTTAGAGTTTTTTGTTTGTTTTGTTTTGTTCATTTGGGATTTTTTTGTTTTGTTTTATTCATTTGGGCTTTTTCCCTTGATTGTCTGTTTTTATTTTTTTATGAGTGTTAACATTGTTTTTAGTTTTTTGATTTGCTTTGTTCTTATTTTTTTTCTTCTTTCTTTTTCTCCTGTCTTCTTCACCAGTTTCCCAAAGTTTGAGAAATCTTCCTTTGCCCTTCAGCTTTGCTTCTAATCTTTCTCTTCTTTTATTTCTCTATTTTTTCCTCTTATGCCTTTTAAATTTTCTCCTGAGGGTAAAATCCCTCTATTAAATGGATTTTTACTGTATATAATTATCTGATTGGTTTTAGATTTTTTTTTATATAACTATAAAGCTTGTACCCATGGCTAAAGGTGGTAAAAGAATAGGTATCACAGTCTGTCATTTTCTGGACTGTGGTTGATGCTATAGTTATTACTGGTCACACTACATTAGCCAAAGTGACATAGTTGTTGTGATCAGTTTTCTTTCTTGTACACCAATACTGAGATTGGGGATCATAAACAATACCATAGTCCAATACCAAAGAACTGGGTGCCAAACAGACACCAGCCTTTAATCCCTAGCAAATTGAAGAAGCAGGATCTCAGGACAGACTCATGAGCCAAAAGCCAGCTATGTGTAGAAGACATCTCTGAAAAGTAATAATTTCCTAACAGGTCTCTGTACTAATAACAAAACTACCTACCATAAGCAATTTACAAACATCAACATGGAAAACAAATTTAAAAAATAAAAAATGAGGAAAAATGGAAGCAAGACACAACCACAGACTTCCACCTCACCCAAGGCAAATCTAGGGGGTACTGAGGTGGAAGAAACCAAAAGCCACCCAACTGGACTTTCTGAAATAGTCGCAGCAGAAGTAGCAAAGCAGATGCATGGGGGACTAGAAAAAAATGAATCAGAAATAATTGCAGAGTTTACTAAAGAGATGATGACCATAATTCCTAGCACCACAAAAAACAATAAATAAACACATAAAAAATGCTCCTTGGCTTAATAATTTCACTTCTCAGAATGTTCCCTATTTGTAATTAGGACAATAGGACTTCAAAAACAACTGGATATGAAGTGGAAATCACTTATCCAAAAATAATGGCACATCCTAAAATGAAATGCCATGTAGCTGTGTATAAGGCCAATTGATGGATGCTGACATAGTAGAGCCCAGGTATTTTTTTTTCCATTTAGTTTACTGGTGTATTTTACTTATACAATATAGTTACATTCATTATTGGGATCGTGTACCTTTACATGATGTAGCTTTGTTCTTATTTTTTCCCCATTTCCCTGCCCTCCCTTCACCCACTCCACCCTTCCCTATTTACAAAGACTTTGTTTCCATGTTTTTCCTTTTCTCATATTTTTTCTTTTCCCTTCTTTCCTTTCCCCTTCCCCTCCCACTTCCCCTATTCCTTTAAACATTTTCTTCCTGGGGCCGGGGATTTAGCTCAGTGGTTTCGCCACCTGCTGTGCAAGTGTAAGGACCCAAGTTTGATCCCTGGTACCAAAAAGCAAACAAACAAAAAATGAACATTACTAGAGGAAATGGCATGTAAGCCCTGATTGAGAGATATATACATGTCATACAATTCATATATTTTATAGCTGAACAATTATTCTTTCTTAAAATGAAAGTTTTTGAATGTATTTATAAATGCTCTCTATGAGACAAGTGGTCAAAGATTTGCACTAGCAGAGGATAAAATGTTGAGAAGTATAAAGACTGCCAAAAAGTTACTTTAAGATCGCACTTAGCTATGAAAGTCACTGAGAGGTCCCTGTGCTTTTCAGAAATCATTTGGAAACCATGACAGGCCCCAATCCCAGTCTGTTTCTGCAAGCCATGGCCACAAGGACCGTAGAAATAGTTCAGCATTCAGAGCGAAGAACACACCAGCTGGCCACTGTGTTTCCAGGCAGCGCTAGGCTTAAGAACATAGCGAGTCAACGTACAGATGTATTGACAAAGAAATGAGTAGACGGCAGAAATAACCCCGTGGTGGGCAGAAATAAACCATATCCTCCAACAATTATGTAGCAACGTTGAGACCTTAGGAATTTTTAGGAATCTGATATCAGAAAATAATTACAACTCAGAAAAAGAAGGGGAAAATAATCCCTTGTCAGGTCATGTCTGAGTTTATAGTTTGGAAGAGTCGAGAGGTCTTGTCCTACCGTTTAGACTTCCACC